AGGAGGCATCCCGGCTCTGAAGCTGCAGTGGAGTCACTGGAGGAGCTTTTGAGGCCGAAGCCCGAATGGCACTGGCCAATCTCATTGTCTGTCTGCCCCTTTCCGGAGTCTGTGGTACCGGCGGGATCTCCTGTCTGGCTGTCACAGTAGCCAACGCCGTGACCGGCGGGAAAAGCTCCTGTCTGGCTGTCACGTGTCGAGCAGGTGCCTCGATCACCGTGTCCACCGAGATCACCGGGGACTCGGGCTGTTCTGGAGGCGGCATCGGCAAGGGTTGCGGCTCCTGAGCAGGCTGTGGGGCCGGCTGAGGTTCAGTAGGCCGTGACGGCGACGATCTCGCCGAGGAGGTGGCCGAGGAGGCAGTGGTTTGCCTTCGGGAAGAGGAAGAAGACGAGGGTGGAGGCGGCATCGTCTTCTTCCTCTTTGCTGGTGGCTGAGCAGTCTTCGACAGCGATTTGCCCGGGGTGGGCGGAACAGAGGATGAGGTAGAAGTACGCCGAGACTCTTCCTGAGACCGGCGAAAGGCAATGCGAACCGCCGTGGACGATGGCGGAGTCGCAGAAGTCGACCTCGTGGACCTGACCGATCTCACTGATGCCACCGAGCTGGTCGACGAGTGTCGAACGCGCACGGTCTCGGTAGTGACCGAGCACGGAGGCGCCTGCTTCGTAGGCCTTGAAGTCTTGGAGGCCGTCGACACTGAGGCCTTCGAAGTTGTCGACATGGCTGCCCTCGGTCTCTTCTGCGCAGCCTTTCTCGGCTGTCGGGGTTCGGGCTCTGCCGAGGGACCGACAGATGTTGTTGTCGGAGCTCTCGACGTCGAGGTTGTTGTAGAAGGTCTAGACACCGTGGCCGACGTCGACGCCGATGCCGATGATGCAGATACCGGGGCCAACGCCTGTTGGTACAGCAGGTACCGAAGTCGATGCGCCCGGTTCTTACGGGACTGCGCCGTCAGTGCCTGACAATGACGACACGAGGAGGTAATATGCGCCTCCCCGAGGCACAGAAGGCAAAGAGCGTGCTTGTCCGAATCAGGGATCTTCTTCGGACATCTCGCGCATCTTTTGAAGCGAGTTGTTGACATAATACAGTCAACAACTCAAGGAAGAACTCCGAAGAGAATTATCGAACACTATCCAACACTATCCAAGAACACTATCCAACACTATCCAGAAGTACCGAAGTGAGCCGTGCGGCGGAAAAAAAGGAATTGGAGCGGCGCGCGCGGGGCGCCCTTTTATCCCCTGCCGGGGCTGGGCGGGGTTACCGCCAAAACTTCAAAAGTTTTAAATAGAAGTTTCCGTTGGAGCCCGCGCAGGCGCAGTCTCTCCACAAGTGTGCATTCGCAGAGACCACGAAGAAAAATATAGGTTTGTGTGTAGAAGATGACATCACCTGCTTGTTGCCGTAAACTTCAGTTATTGAAAAAGAGCCATGAAATCTTATCTTGAAGCAATTGAAAACCCTTTCTCACTGCACAGTTCTAGCTGTGATTCCACTTTAAACTGTCATGGCAACATCCTCTTGAATCCTAGGATTTGTAGTGTAAGTATAAGGTGTTTCAGCAAGAATTCATATCTGCTGCCTCAACAAACTGCAATTCTCAGTATTTCATATGATGTTGCCATGAAAGTTAAAGTGGAATTATAGTGTGGTATGAAAGGGCCTCTAGGCCCCTTCCACGCAGCTTAATAAAATCCCACATTATCTGCTTTGAACTGGAATGTATCACAGTGTGGACTCAGATAACCCAGTTCAAAGCAGATATTGTGGCATTTCCTGCCTTGATATTCTGGGATATAGGGCTGTGTGGAAGGGCCTTTAGACTGGCTTGATTTCTCTCTCTCCATTCAATGCAATCACACCAATTAGAAGTGGGAAAACAGTGCTGAGAGGTGTGGTGTTTGATCAGATTCTCCTCCCATCTGAAGTTGGCTTTGCCCCTTCAGGGAAAGTGGTAACTTCTTGCTAATAGAGACAGTTTAAACAGGGAGAAATGCTACAGGAGAAAATGTAAGGTATCCCCTCCTGATTTTGTTTGCTCAGATATTTCTTCCATTATGTGGCTGTTGAAAGCAAAAATAAATACGCAGCCAGAGATCTGATTATGCGTTGGCAATTTGACCCTCAGGGAAAGCAAGACACTGTAGTTCTTGGTGTGAAAATTCAGATGTCCAACCGATAATTTTTCATGTGAAATATAGTTTCTGAGGTTTTGAGGAAGGTGGAGGACATCACTGTTCACTGGCTTGAGATTATCTGGTATTTGTTTTGATCATAGGCATTAAATACTCATTTAAATGTTCCAATCCTCTAGATTTTCTTCATATAATATTTTGTTAGACTTTTTCATCTGAGCTAAGGCATTATATTCAACCCTGGGAAAGATCACACAGACCTGCAAAACAGAGGGCCATAAAACTTTTTTTTATTATAAATGATGGTTTTATAGGAACTTGGCATTCTAAATCCAAATATGACCTCGGATTTGTCCATCACATACCCTTTTTTCACAACTCGCTTTGACATTTTTATTTTTAATGTGTGACTGGGTAAGATTTCTTTGGGGAATAAAAAGCAAATGGTAAGAAAAGGATTAGAGTCTTCCAATAGACTTTCAAGACACTCTAATTTGCAGATATGAAGCACAAAAATCCATTCAAAAGCACTAAAAGAAATTGCACTAGGATGTCAGCATTCTCAATCAAAACAGAGCACCAAACTTAATGGTTAAGAATAGGGAATGTGTGAAAGAACTGCATATATATGTCATTTTTATTGAGGGCTTTTCAACTTTAGTATCCAAAATATATTAAATGTTTATACACTGTTAGAATGCTACAAAGACAAAAAAAACTGCAAATATGAAAAGCTACAAATGGTACAAAGCTACAATGTTAAAAATACCGCTATTGAAAAAAAAACTGCTTTTATTTTGGATAAAACATAACCCTTGTTCGTTATAATGCAAATATGATGCAAATACAAAATAGCAAACTTAGGTGTTTCATTATGATGTCCAAGATACCAGAATATTATGAAACACAGCATGCCTGGGGGGACCCCAAAGTTAGGAGGGGAGAATAACAAGGAAAGGGCAGCCTGGGGACATTAAAAATACTGTGTGTGGAACAGAAGAAATGGGAACGAAGAGGAAGGGAAGAAATGGAATGGAGTTTGCTGAAAGAAGTCACAACTGGTTGGCTGGTGGTACACTTTGTCTGGAATCCTCTTAGTTAACCCCACTTAGAGTAAATCCATTCAACCAATTAATTGCTGAATGGTGTGTCACTTATACAGATGTGACTCTTGTAAATACTTCAGTATGTTTCCTCCTTTTTTTCTCCTACCCTCTTTTTTTGTCAGAACAAAATGTTTTCAACATCATACTCCCTGTCTTTACGAAATAGGGCCCCTGAGTCCTGGTATCTCTAGCAATATCATTATGTTCTTTCTCTCGTGTGTGGGAAGCTAATTATCCAAAAAAGTGTCAACTGAGGGAGTAGTGAGAATGGTTTGGATTAGCAGACATTTGTGCGAAATAAGTCATCACATTTTATTATGTTTTTGTTTTCTTTTGTTTTTACCTATTCTCAGTGTTTTCATTGCTTGGCAGATACTCAATGTAACTATTATTATTGCAACATGTACAAGATGTTAGATCATTTTAAGCAGAACCAACGGGAAAGAAAATTTGTTTCTGAATTTTGGAATAAAAGGCAGTATACAGATTGCAAGAAGTGTGAATTGAGTCCTTCGCTGGATTATTAATTTCTTTCATTATCAAGTTAATTAAGTTTATAGTTTATAGTTTAGCTGATTATTAACTTTAGGATTGATCTGATGTTATAGTCAAATATTTTACACTCTCCAAGTTATCACTCCTGCAAAACAGTGTTTCCTATTGAAGATATATCTTCTGTTTTTCTTCAGTAAAAACTAGTTTATATCAAATCACCATCAATAACAATATAACAACAACATTTATTATGGTCCACAGACCCATCAGTAAACAAACAGTCACTTTAAATTCTTCCATCTTAGGAGAAGTTCATTGTACAAGATACATCTACATGGTTTCAAGTAATACCCATCAGAGAGGTATCCCCATCAATACCATAACAGAGTTCTGGTACTAAAGTCATCAGTCATATGGAATTGGAGGCCACCAATCCAATCCAAAATGTTAGCCAGGTTCAGTGTAGCTGTAACCATTTTCCAAGTTTGTGATTTTTTCTTCACATTGAAACTGGTTTTCCTAATTGTGATATGTTATGAAAAATTTCTAAATCTCAAGCTGATTGAGCATCCCTTATTCAGAAATCCAAAATGTTCCAAAATCCAAAGCTGACCATGTGGGGAGCTGAGATAGTGATAGCTTAGCTTTCTTATGGCTCTGTGTTCACACATGTTGTGTCATGCCCAAATTATTTAAAATATTGTGTATAAAATTACCTTCAAGCTATTTGTACAAGGTATATATATACTTTGGCCACATCATGAGACAGGAAAGCCTAGAGAAGACAATTATGCTGGGGAAAGTGGAAGGCAAAAGGAAGAGGGGCCGACCAAGGGCAAGATGGATGGATGGCATCCTTGAAGTGACTGGACTGACCTTGAGGGAGCTGGGGGTGGTAACGGCCGACAGGGAGCTCTGGCGTGGGCTGGTCCATGAGATCACGAAGAGTCGGAGACGACTGAACGAATGAACAACAACAACATATATGAAGCATCAATGAATTTCATGTTTAGACGTGGGTCCCATCTCCAAAATATCTGTTTATGTATATGCAAATGTTCTCAAATCTGAAAAAAAAGTCTAAAACACTTCTGGTCCCAAACATTTTGGAAAACAGATTCCCAACCTGTATTTGAAAGGAATTATACAATGCTCTCAATGATTTTGTATCATCTCCTCCTGCATCTGTCAATGCCACTTACTATACTGTTATTCACTCATAATGCATGTCTCACATACCTGTGTTTTCTGGTTTCAGCTCTGTGTTTATGCTGGCATTTTACCTGACCTGTTTTGTGATCCTGACCACCGTAGTGTTTGTTTCAGTTATTTACTCCTGTGTAAAGGTGAGTAGCAGTAATTTATTGTGTTTACTTCAGAGACATTTACATTAGCTCAACATTGTTTTTAGGCTGTAATATAATATTTTTGTTATATTAACAAAATATTCATTTTGGCTTCCTTGAGCACTTTAACTTTTTTTCTTACATTTTACTCTAAGGATTTTTATAATACTTTCATCTCATATTTCCACTTAAAAAATAGCACTCAAGCCAGTTAGCAAACATTACTGAAAACAAATTAAAAGGAAAAAGCATTTAAAAAACAAACAAGACAATGGACCATAAAATCATGATAATATTCGAAAACATTAAATTGTTGAAATACACAATTAGCATATACATGGGTTTATGTTGGGCAATGTTATGTTAGGTTCATGTCAGGGCTGTATGGGGGGGGAGGTAGTTAAAAAAACTTGGTTTACCCATGAATTTTAACTGGTTGACCAAATCCCCCTGCAAAGTCTATAAGAAACAAAAATTAAACAAGTCCCTCCAGAACTGCAAGCACTATCTCAAGCAAATTTTGACAATTTATTCACAGTCATTACTTGCAGCAATAGCTGATATAGTGGAAGCAACCAAGTTGGCCCACCCACAACTGGTAGGCAAAGCCTAAGGCATGGGAGGGATTTGAAGCCCCCCATGAAGATGAGAAAATTGATTTAATTAAGTATATATAAAATATAGAATGAATCATACTAATTAAATTATTTTGTATTATGGAACTACTTCTCATGATTTGCTAAAAAAATTCAACCTCCCCATCCCCATTTTTTTTCTGGCTATGGTCCTGATTCATGTACACAGGAGATCTCTAGTGATAAACCCATTTTAATAGCAGCTCTATTTTGAACAAAACACGGACTACATACCCAACAACATGGTTCTGGCCACTAAGCCAAAAATGTTTCCATCACGAAAATTATGATATCACTATCACTTTGTCATGTTACTATGACATATCGTTGGTTTTGTAGTTCAATGAGGGTGCTAAGAATTCTCCCCACAGTGATTTCCAAGTTCCTCACCAAACTACAGGATATAGGATGGAGTCATGGTAGTTAAAGTGATACCACACTGCGATAATTCTATAGTGTAGAGCCAACCATAGGGTGAGGTTCAACAATTTCTTCTATGTTGTGGTCCCAATTACTATATAAACTAGATACACTCCAGATCACAACCAAAATAATTTTAACCCTCCTATATTTCACTCAAGTACCTTATGCATGTGAAGACACTGCATGCTTCTTTTTAAAATTTACGTTGACTCCATACAGCCACCTGATCAGATTCAGAATTGTGGCAGTGATAGAGTGCTATCTATACTTTAGAAGCACTGCAGTTTGACACCTTTTTAACTCTGATGAATCAGTGCTGTTGAGTTATGGGAATAGTAATTTTCCAAGATCTTTAGCTTTCTCTGCCCAAGAGTGTTGGTGCCTCACCAAACTACAGCTCCTAGAATTCCTTAGCATTGAGCCAAGGCAGTTAAATGATGTTAAATTGCATTACTTCTACAGTGTAAAGCTGGCCATAAAGCAAGGTTTATCAATTTTCTTTATGTTATGGTACCAATGAAGATGCTCCCCCACCCTGCCACAAAAACACAATTGATGTTAAATAAAGGTTTTCAACTTTTTGCAAGTGGACTTCTGCCCACACAATGGGACGCTTTTGCTCTATTCTGTCCTCCAAGCACTCACAGGCTCTGGAGAAGTTTTGGGAGCATGTCAGGTAGGAGAATGTGGAGAGAGAGATTCAGTTTTGTCAGCTGCTGCCAGCATTAAATATAATCCACTGGGATTGCAACATGGGGGGAAGGGCTTTAAAAACACAACACCAAAAGAATCCACACGAGAAGAGCTGTAAGACCAGAGCCAGAACAAAAGAACAGAGGCAACAGTGTATTTCTACAATTGTTTCCTTTTGTATTGCCAATGTCTTTTCAGATACAATCTCTTTGTCCAGGGAATACTTTAAACACAGTTGGAATATACTTAATGCTTTCAAATTGCTGCCCAGACCTACTTCCTTCTTGGCTCGTTCAGGGAGACTGATGAGTAGGGACGAATGAATCTGTCAACTTAGGTTTGTGTCAGTCTTGCCTTCCCCAGTCTTAGGTCATTACGTCTCATATCTATGACAGTATATATTTTTAAAATTTTCACCAACATCCATATGAATATCTATGCGCCTTTCCCCCAATGTACATTTATCATAAGCCATTTTACCTAATAGGGCATTTTTTGCAAGCCATTTTCCTTAATCCATTTTAGATGGATTCACACATCTATTCATTTTGGCACACATATTTATTTAACATCATTGCAAAATTTGCAGAAGGATAACTGTTTTTCAGTTTGCATATTGGAGCTGAAAATGTGAATTGGGTAAAATCAATTCAAATGGCTTTCTGCTCATCCCTAATTAGAAACATTTGAAAGAATGGCTTATATTTGGCTCAGAGTTGGAGTAAAGGGAGAAGTGACAAAGGCCTTCCAGTATCCCAGGAGCTGCCGATGGAACAGGCTTGTTGTTTTTTTGCACCAGAGGGCAGGACTAAAATAATGGTTGGAAATTGCAGGGAAGTTGATTACCAGCTGCTTGATAGTGGAAGAGAGTGCCTTAGCAAGTGATGTGTTTACTGGAAGTACTTAAACAGAAGCTGGACAGCTATCTGCCAAGGTTCTCTGTCACTGATCCCTATATAGAACAAAGGCTAGGAGTGCTTCTACACATCACTAAAACCCGTGCCGAATTGGGTTAAAGTAACCCGCTTCGGTGTGGGTTCTAGTCCCCTTCCCAGAGTGGATACATGCTATCCTGATTGAAATTGAGATAGCATGGAGCCACCCCTTAGCCCCCAATTTACCCCATAAAACTTACTGAAAAGGTCTCTGGCCTCTGTGGAAATGATTCCTGGGGAGGTTGGAGGGGTTAGGAAGAAAATCCCTTGATTCTCCTCAGTCATCATTTTCTCACATCATGAGGATGTGAGGAAAGGCTTCATCATGGCTAGGGACCTTTTCAGTAAGTTTTAGAGGGTAAATCAGGGGCTGAGGGTGGGTGGGCGCCGTCTCATACCTTTGGGCTCCAGGAGCCCAAAGGTGTGGAATGGCTGTGGAAACTGACCCCTGGGAAACGCATTATGCGCCCCGGGACTCCGTTCCCACAGGCCCAGCACCTCATTAGACGAGGATCTTTCATAAAGTTCTGGATCTAATGAGGTGTTTCATGCAGAATGAACCAGGGAAACCTCGGTTTACTCCACATTAATTTGTTTTTCCTGGAGGCATCATTTAGACCTGTCTGGATGGGCCCTAAGTAAACACTCAGCTTCCTTCCAAATTTCCAATTTTACATTTCAAGGTAGCTACAGGTTCTCTTAGTTAATTGACTAATTAACCAGCAAAAGGAGTTCTGTGATTTCTGCCAATGCACCCCAATAAATTTCTCTTAGGGGAGAGATTTTTGTCCTTTCTAAGGATCAGACAAACTGAATCAGAGTAGCGAGAGCTCCAGATCTGTTTGAAATAATACAAGAGCTTTTTCAGGTTCCTAATACCTCTGCCTCTAAGGCCCTCCCAAAGGTGATACAGTGAAACTGGATAGTTAAGAGATAACCAGCAAGATGTAGAGATATGAGTATTGGGCTGTGTCTCTGGAGACCAGGGGTTGAATCCCTTCTCAATAATGGATATCCACTGGGTGATCTTAGGCAAGTCACACACGCTTGATCTCAGAAGAAGGCAGAGGCAAACCCCTTCCAAACAAATACTTCCAAGAAAATCCATGATTGGTTTACCTTAGGGTCATGAGTTGAAGGCACACAACAGCAGAGATAGTAAGAAAACAAGGCAAAACACTCATAGCTATGAATTCTGTAGCACTGTTGTGACAGTGATCCCTCCCTCCATAAAATTGGAAGAACTCTTTAGCTAGTTGAAATTTCTCCATTTCTCCATCTAAAAACAAGATTTTGACTATAAACCTATACTCACTTAACTTGTAATAAAAGCCATGACTTTGGTGGAATTTGCACCAGTTCCCATGCTTGCCTACTCAGATGTATGTTTTAATTAGAATCACAATGCTATTAAGTTAATAGGAATTAGAGTTTCTATTTAAATGTGCTGGCTGGGTGACATCTTGATTTTTTTTAAAAATTACATTAAATTCTCCTAACAACTTGCCTTATGTGCAAGTGTGCTGTGTTCTGCATAAAACAAATGAGATGGCAGTGCCAATTAAGTCCTCACAAAAATAGCGGTCAAAAACAACAAACTATATTAGGGTTATAACTATATAACGAGTAGCACAACCTATAAAAAGCCATGTATCAACCTTCTGCCCTTCTCTGCTGTGTGAAACATGACTGGAACATGGAATAATCTTTAGTTTTCTTTCCAGGGAGAAAAAAGTAGGAAAGTATTACCTTGTCGGTTCTGAGTAATGAAACTCCAGGAGACAAATTGTACAGCTGAAATTATGACCTTTACATTGCCTTGGCATATTGACTTCAGAACTATTATCTGAGCACCCAAAAGTATTTCATTGCAGGCTGCCAATCGTTATGGACTTTCTGATGGCCCATTCTGACTCAGCTTCCACATTTCTGAGATGAGATGCTATTCATAAGTTAGTTTCAATCTCAAATAGGGTTTCTTTGGCTAATTGAAAATACTGTTTAAAAAAAGAAACACATTTACCTATCCCAAAGAACAGCAAATAGGATTTAAATTCAAAGTAGACTAGGAGACCAGTATAGTTGTGAAATAATTGATCCAGGGTAGAGACCTTTTTACAAGTAGGAATAGATATCAGGAAAAGGCTTTGTCTGGGTAGCAACTCCCTGAGTCCAAGCTACCTGATGGATTCTGCAAATAGTAGTTCAAATAGCAACATTTCTGAAGATCTATATGGGATACATTATTTCTCTCTGGCTTCCCCATGGGTGAGATCACATTGGGATGCAGTCATTAGGATGACTTTGGAAGTAG